ATTTGGGTGAGAATTCACAGAACAAATTCACTTTCCATAAGGCAGTTCACATCACTGTGAGTCTTTCTATGCACTGAGAGGGATGAGGCATGACTAAAGGCTTTCCCACATTGCTTACATTCATAGGGCCTCTCTCCTCTGTGAGTTCTTACATGGACAGTGAGAAGTGAGGCACGAATAAAATCTTTCCCACATTCCTTACATGCATAAGGTCTCTCCCCAGTGTGACTTCGCGTATGTATAGTAAGATGTGAGGGACGACTAAACCCTTTCCCACATTCCTTACATTCATAAGGCCTCTGTCCACTGTGAGTTCCTCTGTGTTCACTAAGGGATGAGGAATTACGAAAGGCTTTCCCACATTCCTTACATACATAAGGCCTCTCTCCACTGTGAATTCTTTTATGTACAGTAAGGGATGATGAACAACTAAAGGCTTTCCCACATTCCTTACATACGTGACGCCTCTCTCCACTGTGAATTCTGCTATGTGCAGTAAGGGATGATGAACAACTAAAAGCTTTGCCACATTCCTTACATATGTAACGCCTCTCTCCACTGTGAATTCTGCTATGTGCAGTAAGGGATGATGAACAACTAAAACCTTTCCCACATTCCCTACATACATAAGGCCTCTCTCCACTGTGAATTCTTCTATGTATAGTAAGGGATGATGAAAAACTAAAGGCTTTCCCACATTCCTTACATATATAGGGCCTCACTCCACTGTGAGTGCGCGTATGTGTAGTGAGGGATGAGGAATGCCTAAAGGCTTTCCCACATTCCTTACATTCATAAGGCCTCTCCCCATTGTGAGTTTCTATATGTTGAGTAAGCAATGACAAACAACTAAAGGCCATCCCACATTGCTTACATTCATAGGGCCTCTCTCCTGTGTGAGTTCTTACATGGACAGCGAGAAATGAGGCATGACTAAAACCTCTCCCACATTCCTTACATTCATAAGGTCTCTCCCCACTGTGACTTTGCATATGTCTAGTGAGATGTGAGCCTAGACTAAAACCTTTCCCACATTCCTTACATTTATAAGGCCTTTCCCTGTTGTGACTCTGCATATGACTAGTGAGATGTGAGTTACGACTAAAACATTTCCCACATTCCTTACATATATAGGGCCTCTCTCCACTGTGAATTCTTCTATGTACAGTAAGGGATGAGGAACAACGAAAGGCTTTCCCACAAACCTTACATTCCCAAGGTCTCTCCCCACTGTGAATTCTTTTATGTATAGAAAGGGATGAGGAGCGAATAAAGGCTTTCCCACATTCCTCACATGTATAGGGCCTCTCCCCACTGTGAATTCTTTCATGTATAATGAGATCTGAGGCACACTTAAAGGCTTTCCCGCAATGCATACATTTATAAGGTCTCTCCCCACTGTGAGTTCTTATATGGACAGTGAGATGTGAGACACGAATAAAAGCTTTCCCACATAGCATACACTCATAAGGCCTCTCACCACTGTGAGTTCTTCTATGTTTACTAAGGGATGAGGAAGAACTAAAGGTTTTCCCACATTGTTTACATATATAGGGTTTCTCTCCACTGTGAGTCCGCATATGTGTAGTGAGGGACGAGGCATGCCTAAAGGCTTTCCCACATTCCTTACATTCATAAGGCCTCTCCTCACTGTGAGTTCTTCTATGTTTATTAAGGGATGAGAAACAACTAAAGGCTTTCCCACATTTATTACATATGCAGGACTTCTCTCCAGCAGGAGCATTTGTATGCTCACTGAGGTAAGAAGAATGACTAAGGGCTATCTTACATTCCTTACTATTGTAAGGTCTCTGCCCACTATGAGTTCGCATACGTCTACTGAGGAATGAGGAAAAAGAAAAACCTCTCCCACGTTCCTTCCATACAAAATCCTTATCCCTGTTAGGAAAATTTTTACGTGAAATGAGGGATGAAGGATGACTAGAGTCTTTACAACATGATTTACATTCATGCTCATGAACTCTCACATGCGTCCAAAAGGACGACAAACTACAGGAATCTTTCCCACATTTGTGACATTCACAGCGCTCCTCATCAGTCAGTGCTATCACAGGATCCTTAAGGGTTGATGTACAAATCAAGTCCTTCCTACATATCTTACATCTATGGGGCTTCTTTCCACGAAGAGTTCTCATGGGAGTCGTTAGTTGGGAGGGACAACCTTCCTCACACTGACAGGAATTACATCCAGTCGGAGATCGGGCAGGATCCTCATGGGATGAGTGATGCGTGAAGTGTTCCAAAGGCTTCACTTCTGGAAGATTTCTTGGTAACACAGGCAGATTTGGAATACGGCTGGAAGTTTTCCCGCACGGATCACCTTCATGACTTTCACAGAGGTTTTCTACTGTACGACTTCTGTTAAAAATAGGCAGTATGTTGTTGGAAACAAGTTGGTTCTCATTTCACCATCACCAAATACAGTGAATGCACAGCTTTTGCCTTCACTTATCTAATGTTTCATAGGTTAAATATTTTACAGAAATACTACCACTATGCCCAACTTAAATATGTTTAAAATACCTGAAATCTGAATTACGTTATGAAAATGTCGTATGTTAAAAATTCTCTAAACCTGTAATTTCTGTCAGTTAATGTATACTTATATGTGCGTATACAGTAGTATGTCTTAGGGTTTCAAACAGATTCATAATTGTTCTACATTTGCAGATATAAGCAAAGGCAGCTTACACACCCTCACAGCACCCAAATCTGTTACCCTTCAGATTTTGACCCAAGGAGGAATCAAACAAGGAGCTCGGGTAGCGCAGTGCTTAACACATTTGACTGCTAACCAGAAGGTTGGAGGTTCAAACCCACCAGCCAGTCTGTGGAAGCTTCCTTCCTGGGAAATGTATTTCTGTAAAGATTTATCACCTCAGAAACCCAATGGAGATCACTGTGAATGACAATCGACTGAATGGGAGTACATTTGGCTTTTGTTTGGTAGTGTTTTTCAAGTCACTCAACGTGGCCCAGCTAAGCTGATACACAAACTTAACTATCACAGGTAGGAAACAAGCAGCTTGGCCGTGCTGAAAGATGGCGGACAACCATGTAGATTTCAATATGTATGACTCTCTATAATACTCCCAATAATCCAATCTCCCACACATATACCAAGTTTCAGGAGCCTGATCAGGTGTATCTGATTAATGGGAAAGTGATGGAGAGTGATACATATTCTAATGAGCACGGCTGGCTGCCATGTTTGAGTGTAACACCTATGACTGTTTCCTACTCAGGGCAAAATCCGATGAGCAAGTGATGTGGTTGATATGCAATGCGTATATGACCCTTGTTTAGAGAAGCAGTTACTAAACCATTAAAAAGTGGTTCAAAGCCCTGGTAAACAGATATATGTATATATGTTCATATTAATGCCACGACACCATAGGACTTTCTCCTGAGGCATTTTCCTCTCTCCTTTGAATGACTCTCACCTCAACTGTTTCCCCTGGTTGGGAGATTGCTCTTTACTGCCATACAATTTTGAGAATTCTCCCAACATGAAGGACCAGCTCTTTTTCTTCATTAATTGCAGCATGATATCTTCACTGGCAAACTTTTCTCCATCAGTCATGCTTTGAGAGGCTGATCAAATCATTCAAGTTGAAGATCACAACATGAAACAAAAAGGAAGGAATTATTAAGGAAAGAAAGGCTGCTGTGAACAAACACACTGTGGTAGCTAAGGTTGTATGTCAACTTGGCTGGGCCTAGTTGAGTGGCTAGGCACCCTGGTGGTAGTTTATTCCCCGTGAGGAGACTGGTAATCAACTCCATGTGAAGAGCTGAGTGGCTGCTTTTTGATGTGTTCTGCTTCCTGTATATAAGGAGAAGCCTTGGGGAATGGTCTCTAGCTTATGGCAGCTTGAATCCTGCATGTAGCCAGGTTGCTGTTCAGTAGCCTACCATGCTCAACCAATCTTGGGACTTTCAATGGACTTGAATTAATGGCCTACCGTGTGGTTTGGTAATATCAGGACTGTGGCTTTTTACTTGTCAACCCTGGGCTTGGGCTTGTCAGTGTCAGCAACCAGCACCTGAGTGAAGAAAAGCCTCCAGCTTCCGTGGACCAGGAGCAGGAGGCAGAGCTGAAGCCCAAGGTTGAGAGGCTTTCACCCAACCCCCAGAGCCTGGCACTTTGACCACAGACTTAAAGCTTCCAAATTGTACTATTATAAACTCCTGTTTCTTCAAGCCATCCATTTCTGGTATCTTCTGTGTTCTGGTTCTGCAGTGTCGCCATGACAAGAGTATGTATCACAAACAAGAAGGCCTTAACAGGACTTTATTCTTACAATTTGGAGGCTTTACGTCCAAGTTCAAAGTGTCAGGCTCTAGGGGCTGTGTGAAAGCCCCTCGACCTTGGTCTTCAGCTTTGCCTCTGACTCCCAACCTACTGAAGCTGGAGGCATCTCTTCACTCAGGCAGCTACTGGCTGCTGAGGCCAAAAAGCCCAAACTCGACAAATAAAATGGCACAGTCCCGATGTTACCAAAACAGACAACAGGCCATTAGTTTAAGTCCATCTAAAGTCGCAAGATTTGCAAAGCATGGCCGGCTGCTGAACAACAACATGACTACATGCAGGGTTCAAGCACACCATAAGCTGGAGACCATCCTGTGGGGAATAACTACATTCAGCTGACCAGCCACTCACCAGGCCCAGCCAAGTTGACACACAAACAAAACTACCACATGCTGTTACAGCACCACTAAGTAACCAGAACACAGACTTAGCCTTAGCTTTCAAATTTTCAATCCTTTGAATGTGGATACAAAGCAAGTTAGCAGCAAATACTTCCCTTAGGAGTGAGAGGAATGTTCGCTCAAGTATGTGTTATCAGGACACATAAGTAGAAAGTTACTGGGCACAGTAC